AGCCCACTGCCAGCGCTGACGGTTCCTCCCACAGGGATGTGTTGTGTGAATATTCCTTAAATCAACTTCAGGCAAATTAGCTGGGTTTGATGAAATCGTTTTACTGAGTGATAAAAGCAAATCTGACTAATCATTGTCCATGGAAATTGGTCAAGCAGTATCACAAATTGGTCCATCGGTAGAACTGGAGGGAAGATGAGCAGCGGAGGTTGATCGTCCTTGCATGGTTCAGCTGGATCAAAAGAGCATCTATCTATGTACTTTATTTCATGTTCTGTGCTGCAGAAAGGCTGGCTACTGAAGAAACAAAAACAATGAGCTAAATGATCTAAAGGCTTTTCCCATCCAATTTGCCCATGAAACTGTTACCTTTTAAGGGGATGCTTACTTCTGATTACCTCCGGGTGTCTGGTTTTGCAGTACGCCTTCCCATTTCCACATTGAATGGGAAATTGAGAGAAGGAAATGGTGTGTTCTTCTTGGTGGGAGCTGCAGAGATGTAAATGGGATGGCTCCAAGGGGATCTGCACATCAGGCTTAGACTGAAGTGAGGAAAAGTGGTTTGGTTTATGCTGGGTATAAGAAAGCAATGATATTAGTACAAAAAGGTTATCTAGGAGTACAAAGCAGGAATAGAGAGAGAGACATGGCACTGCTGGAGAGAGTCCAGCGGAGGGCTACCAAGATGATGAGGGGACTGGAGCATCTCTCCTCTGAAGAAAGGCTGCGAGAGCTGGGCCTGTTCAGCCTGGAGAAGAGAAGACTTGAGAGGCGATCTCATCGATGTGTACAAGTATCTGAAGGGAGGGTGTCGAGAGGATGAGGCCAGCCTCTTTGTGGTGCCCAGCGACAGGACAAGAGGCAACGGGCACAAACCACAGGCAGTTCCATCTGAACCTGAGAAAAAACTTCTTCACTGTGAGGGTGACAGAGCCCTGGAACAGGTTGCCCAGAGAGGTGGTGGAGTCTCCTTCCCTGGAGATATCCAAAACCCATCTGGACGTGATCCTGGGCAATGTGCTCTAGAGGACCCTGCTTGAGGAGGGAGGTTGGACTAGATGATCTCCAGAGGTCCCTTCCAACCTCAACCGTTCTGTGATTCTGTGAATAAGAGAATGGGATTATGCAGTGTTTAATAATGAATGATAACCCCTACTTCATAGAAGAAATTAAAAGATAAAGTTCTTTATATGAATTTTAGCACTTCAGAAACTTGAGTGCTTAACTTATCCTTTCACAACAAATCCATTGAAAGCTTTTTGCTTACTTACCATTAGCCTGAGCACCACAGTGTCACTGAATTCTTGATAGCCAAGTTGCTGCTGATAGTTCATTTTTGCACATTATTACTAACACACTAAAGCTCATTCAGAGGCACATACTCAAGTAAAGAGTCTGTCAAACAGTCTAATGTGATGAGAATGGAGGCTCTCTTCTTCCCAGTCCAGACTCTGTCTCTGATATACACAGAGACGATAATATCACATCTCCTGCCAACAGTGCTGCAGATCTCTCTAGTGTAAGATGGGTTGTGTTTTGCAAATGTCGTTGAGCCACATCGAGTACTGAATTGGGGAAAAAAAGAAGGCAAAACAGTTGGAAAATAATTGATTTTTCTTTTTTTTTGGCCTAAACTGAAGAAAAACAAAAACCTGTGGGAGAATACGATTTTTCAACAGATTTGGTAAAATATATAAATAGCTTTGTTATAGTAAACCAGAAAAAATAGTTTATAAATAGTTGATTTGCAGTTATGCATAATAGTTTATTTCCTTTTCAGATTGTTTCTTTAATACTTCAGCCTTCTTCAGCCTAAATTAGCCTTCTCCAATTAGCTCAAAATAGATATTTTCTTTAAACAAAAACAAAAGGTCAAATACTTTGCTTAAAAGCATCAAACCAGAGTGTTTTATCGTATCTGAAACAAAAAACTTAATTTTGAAAATACTGAAATAAATTTAAGATTTCTCTTCTTTTTTTTACAAGCCAAAGCTAAGCAGACTTGACCTAAATGCACAAATAGTTTTAGTTCCCTTAGAAACATGATTTTCCAGCACATTTATTATTTTCCTCTCCATATCTGAGCTCTGTTTCATAAGTGAAACTGTAAGAAAATATTTTAAGAGAAGGTAATTTCTTTTTAAATTGATAATTATTATCATTAGTTTCCTGTAGTTTATATAAACACTTCTGAAGAGGCCATTATTTTGATGTTATCTTCAGCTGTGTATTGCAAAGTCCATTTATTTGTATAAAGGTTTTGTGGGCTGTTGGGTTAGATTAACCTTCCTAAGGATTTCAGCCAGGGTGGTGCTAAGTGATGGCCATACAGACGATTGCAGGAGTGGGATCAGTACACACATCAGAACTGGCTGTTGGGATGGAATTAAAGGAAAGGAAGCACCACGAAAATGTTGTGTCACTATTCATTTGAACTTATAAGTGAATTTGCTTTGGTTGTGTTCATAACCCCTTTATATTCCTTTTCTGTCATCTTCCTTGCGATTGAGATTTACTGATATGGAATGTGGATTTAAGGTCAAATGCTCACAAACTGTGAATTTTAAATTTGCTTAGACTTGAGCCTTCACACAAGATTGAGTTATGCTTGTTTAACCAAGGGAATAGCATTGAAGCACAATGAAGCAGCGTGAGTAAAATTTCAGTTAAACCAGTTGTAGAATAAATGACATTTTCTAAAAGATCATTTAGATTAACAAAGAGATCTGAGAATACCAGAATCTATTTCCATGAATGGAAAAAGCAAAATACCTCACACTATTTATGACTACTCAGCCCTTGCAAGAGTAGGAGAGTAAACCTGTACTGCTATATTTTCTGTTATCAATCACTTTATGATGTTTTTCAGTATTTGTGGCCAGTGAATCAGATTTATGATGCAACAGATGAATTACTGAATTTTATTTATGAAACAGTAATAACAGATACTGCTAATATGTCTGCCATTTTTTCTAGTCTTGCTGCTTCACTGCACTGTAAATATGTTTTATATGCATCGTCTTACACTGTACATATTTTCAATTAACAGGTTTGCCTGTTTGCCCGGAGCTGACCCGAGAGCACATTCCTAAAACCAGAGATGTGGGTCACTTTTTATCTGTTACTGGGACTGTCATACGTACCAGTTTGGTGAAAGTGTTGGAGTTTGAACGGAGTTATATCTGCAATAAGTGCAAGCACGTGTTTGTCGTTAAGGCTGACTTTGAACAGTACTATGCTTTCTGTCGTCCAACAACCTGTCTTAATGAAGAAGGCTGCAACTCAAACAAGTTCACTTGCCTCTCGGGAACATCTTCTTCTCCTACCAGCTGCAGAGACTATCAAGAAATCAAAATTCAGGAACAGGTGAAAAAATAGGCAGAGAAAGGGGAGGGTATAAAGGTGCAAGTGTCTCAAATACAAAAAATAATTACTTTAGTAAAGGAGGCATTTGGGGGCTTCATTTCCTGCTGGAATAAGGTGTTACAACTCCACTAATTTTAGTGAGACTCCTCGTGCTTATGTCAGAATTAAGTTTATCCCATTTTGATTTATGTTTCACATACTAAAATAAGGGGGAAAGTTTAACAGATTCTACTGTTATTTAAAACAAATGCCTGAGCAGACTAGAAGATGCCAGAGAACTGGCCTTAACCTGTCAGTCAGAGATTTCCAGTCAAAAAGTTAAAAAGTTAGACATGTGTTGACTAGAATTTCCTTACTAGGTTATTCCATTCAGTATCGTACGAAACACTCGGGGTCAGTGCATAGATTAAATTCTAGCATTCAGCTTTTATAACCCCAACAACGTGTGTGTGTTGTTTATCTAAGCACTTATGGTACGTGATGCTGATGTTCAACATGGCTTCTAAGGTCAACAGCTAGCCTGGTGATGGCCAAGGCCAGCTGTAGGGGTGTGGTATTGTCAGTACTCTGTACCTGCTAAGGTCTGTTCTCATCAGCTGACAATCGTACCAGTGATTCAATATATTCAATGATTACTGAATAGCTACTCCTCACAGAATTCGCATTCATTTTTCTAAAGTCAGCCCTAGATGGATGGCTTCGAGTACTATTAAGCTGGAGGAGTAAGATGCAATTGGGCATCTTTTTCCAGCAGCACATAACTAAGGTAAAACTGGCAAAAGGAGATCTAAACTGAATGAAAATTGAGAACACGAAGGGTATGTTGTAGCCAGAGTTTCTGTGATTATTTGTATGTTCAGTGTCTCTTCATAAATCCTCTTTAAGATGTCTTCAGTTGGTTGAGGGGTTCGATTTTATAAATTAAGAGGATAGTGATGCCAATCTACCCGTTAGTGCTATCAAAACAGAAATTTATGAAATTAGAGACGAAGCCTTTTGAAGCTCAGAGTAGCAAAAAAGTAAGGGAATAAAGATATTTCTAGGAGATAAGCCCTGTGCTTGCATGTTTGTGTTACGATTTTTTCTGACATACGGTTTATGCTAGATTTTTTGTTAACCGTGTGACACAAAAATCTCTATGATGGAACAGATTTTCAGCAGTATGGGCCTATTAAATACAATAATGAAATGAATTTCACCTGTATTTCTTAGTTAGTGCTGCCAGTAACTGTGTGTGCCCCACTGACAGTGATGCAAACTGCCTACAGCTTTTCAGATAATACACAAGGATAAAGTAACCTTTCTAGAAACGAGAGAGTGAAGGAACCTGGATTTCTAGTGTGTATGATCCTGTGCCACAAAATGAAAAGGTAGTTCTGATTGTTGTTCTTCGTGCAGTGTATGTTTTAACACTTGAAAGCTTTTCTGTACGAGTGAAAACATTTCTAGATGGAAATAGGTTGTGACAAGTTTGCATAGGCTTTGCCCTGGAGAAAAGAAAAAGAGTTACAACAGTAACTGGCACACTTGTCAATATGCATTCTTCTTGTTGTGTGCTATTTGTTTTCTTCTGTTTTTGATTTAATCCATGACACTTAGGTGTAAATTTATTTCCCAGCCTGTCAAATTGCGGTTAAATACCAGAATAATGTGTAGAATAATCTTTCAATATATACTTCAGTGAAGAGTTGTCTAACCCATGGATACGCTTCAGTAACCAAAGTCAGCTTTGCTTATTGAAAAGTGTCTGAAGAATATCTCAAATCATAACAAAAAAGTTCAGCTCTCTCAAATGACGTCTTTCAGTGAGCTTTCTCCAGCAAGATATTGAAATCACACAACACCTCCCAGGCTTGAGCACCTCCAGCTGATTTAATGCTCAGTTCTGTTGGCACTGTTATCAGCTTTAAAGTTCCCTTATGAAGTTCATGGTGGTAGAGGCATGTTTACCGGTACGTAGCACATGTAAGTTTTGTGAGAAAAAGCAAGGATTGACCTCAGGTCCAGGAAAGGAACATAGATCCTTCAAACAGAGCAACTCTAAATGGCTTTTAAAAGGTGCTGTTCTTAAGAAGTGCTTTTCCTTTCCATCTGCTAGGTTCAAAGGCTGTCTGTTGGAAGCATCCCTCGCTGCATGGTGGTTGTTCTGGAAGATGACTTAGTGGACAGTTGCAAGTCTGGTAAGGACACAACATATATTGCATGTATTTGTACCATAAGCATTTTCATTTCTCCATTTGAGGTGACTCTTTGCCAAGTAGGCCATCAGTGGTGAGGGCTTGTCTAATCAGGTATGTTCATCTGTCATGTTGATGTTTCAGCTTGCAAGTTAGTGTGGCAGTTGAAGACTATTGTAGAAAATATCATACATCCACACGTTACATCTTGAGTGTTTGGCAGATCAGTCTCAATAAGTAATGTGCTGTGGCATACAGAAAGTATACTGGGACTTGTTAGTGTCAGAATCCCACGTATTTTGAGGAAATTGAAGCAGAGAGTGTGATGCCCCTCCTTAGGTTCAGAAAGCTATGTAACCTAACCTCCTGCCTAAGGAAGGCTGCAGATGGAAAAAGCTACGTGGCTTTCAAAAAAGAAGCTAATCAATCAGTGGGAGGATGTATGAGGAATGGACTCAAAATTCTCAGAATGTAATTGTTATATTTACCTAAAAAATAAAAATTGCTATATTCAAAAAATAAAAAAATTAAATAATAAATAAACAGTAAAATAATAAATAAATATAACAATAATAATAAACAATAAAAAATTGTTATATTTATCTAAACTCATGGTATGTCCCCGCAAGAAACTCGGTGTTCGTTGCCGACTGTTCATTGCGTTGTGGCCAGAACGTTCACAAGTGATACTGGAATTAGTCACTAAAGTTATCAGAAGTTATACAACTGTTGGCTAAATGTGTTGGTTAGTAAATCTAATAAAGAGAAGAGCCTTTACAGTTTAATTAGAATTTCCCTTTCCTGAAAGAGGAAACAAGCATAGGTACACCTCTGTGAATTCACCTAACCTTAATTAGAAGTGGAAACACACGGTAACTTTCAATCACAGACATAAGCGATCCAGCTGATGTTCGTTTTAGACTTCCAATAACTGCAGGAGGCTTCTTGGTTTTTTTTTTTTTTTTTTTTTTTTTTGGGGGGGGGGGGTTTTTTTAAGTTAGTAACTGTAACACAGGATCTAAGCTGCACTGTTATGCATTACAGCTAACTGATACAACTGCCTATCTTAACTCAGATACTATTTATCAATTTTTGTTGCTATCCCCAGGAGATGACATCACAGTGTATGGAGTAGTAATGCAGAGATGGAAACCTTTCCACCAGGATGCACGCTGTGACTTGGAGCTTGTTCTGAAAGCCAACTACGTTAAAGTAAACAATGAGCAGCTAGCAGGGGTTATAATCGATGAAGAAGTCCGCAAGGAATTTGAAGACTTCTGGGAAAAGCATAGGAACGATCCCTTAGCAGGTTAGTAGTTGAAGGTTTAAAAATAGGACTCATATTCAGATGCAGATGAAATCAAGAGTGAAAATACTGCAGCTGAGCACATTTTTCCCCCATTATCTTATCCCACCATCTGATAAAGCAATACGTTTTTCCCAGTACAGAAATCTGAAATTCTTACTTAAAAATTACTGAAGAAACAGTACCAACCATACTGCCTTGATCGTTCTTCTTTTGAGCTTGCTATTCAAATGTTTTATGGAACATTTATTAACAAGAAATGAGAAATAATGCAAGTATCAGGGGAAAAAAGATGTTTTATAATCAAGAAAAAAAAGCTTATCACTTAGAAAAAATTGTGTGGATAATTGTTGACTCCGACACTAGATATCTGACTCTTTGTCTTTGCATCCAAAGTCAAGCTCCGAATCTTTGCCAGAGTGCTTAGCATGTTTCATCTTTAACTCTTAGATGCACAGAGATGGCAAGGGTTGTGTCTGGAACTCTGTGCCTCTCCAGCATCCGAATGCCTCCTGAACTGCAGAGAAGCTCAATGGAGTATTTAGGATTTATGTCATTGAACTGTCTCATTCCAATACTCTCTGTCTTTTCAAAACTCTGAAAAGGATTTAGTCCTCTTAAAATATGAATGGGGAAAAAAAGCAGGTGGCAACATTGCCCATATTAGCACATGAGTTAGAGTACTTCAGTACTCTGTAAGAAGTTGGAGAGCTTCAAAAACAAAGAGATTCTTCAGAATTGTGTTTCCTAGAAAGTAGTTTAACTGCTAGCCTGCTGCTGTTTGGTTTAAGAACATTTCCCACCACTCTTGTTAGAACTGTTCAGAAAGTAATTCAAGATCCATTTTGAAGGTCCCAATTAATGCTTCGTTCTTTGGACAACTTTTGAAAGCCTGGAGTGAGCAATGTGATTTTATGCAGTATTACCCATTCGGAACAAATAAATCGATGTGAAGTGGCTGCAAGAGAATGGGCTTGAAATTGGAAGAACCCTGACTACCTGGCCTCTCCCTTCCACACTGTTTCTCTGAATTAGCAGCCCCTCAGGTGAGGGCAGAGATCAGACTTGACCGATGAGTCTAAGGTGTACCCCATATCACACCAGGATTACCACAGCAGCTCTTCGAGAGAGTTTTGTCACTTAGACAAGTGAGTTTTTTTTTTTTCTTCTGAATAACGAATGGGAAGAGGCAGAGCTGCTGAGCAGCTCAGCTCTGAAAAGGCAAATGAATCTAAAGTCAGACAGTGGCAACTGTGGAGTTAAATCTTGGGTTATGCAGCAGCGCACCAAAGTTTTGAAAATTTAAGTTTTGGACAAAAAGTTAATTCCCTCAAAAGACCTACATGAGAGACACATATGCCTCAAGTCATTTATTAGGTCTCTACATATTTTACCAGATCTATCTTACGGTTTTCATGTACTTGCATTCAAATTTAAAACATTATGTTAAGAACTCAAAATTGGTTGCTGTGTTCTGTGCCCTAGCAGTGAAGGTACTGTTTGGCATTGAAGTTGTGCTCCCTTTTATGTGCTGTTAGTATCAGAATTTCAAAGGACAGAATTAATTCTGTTATATGCCTTCCAAGCCAACAAAATTATCATAGCAGATTGAAGCATTTTGTTGCTAGAAAGAGAATATGGGAGGGAGGAGGAGATGGAGAGTACAGAAGGGTCAAAGGAGAAGGAGATTCATAGTGAGAAAATGAGCCACACCATGTGTGCACAAAAATATGGTGCACAGATTTAGGCCAAATACTAAGTTTTAGATGTGACTTAGTTTTCTTAAATGTGCAGCGCACCAGTTTTCAAGGGGATATTTTGAAATGATAGATACAAGTTAGGAAGGTGTTGAAGTTTTATTCTTCACACCCCCTGTACCTTTATCTGGAAACAAAAGAATTTGAATGAAGGCCTGTTATTAGTGCCTATTTTCATGACATCCAGACCATCCATTCCTTAAATTAGTATAGGATTTACACTGATGTTTATGACAGTGGAGGATTTAACTTCTTTATAATGAAGGAAGTTTGGATCAAGCAACTGCTTTGGGTCCCATTTAAAATCAAAAAGAATTGTTCTCCTCCCTGGCCTGTTCCTCTTGCTCAGGAAGCAGGCCCAAGTTGCTTGTCAGTGCAGGGACTTTCAGTGTACGGTTCAGTCCATCGGACAAGTTTGCCGATTTACACCATATTTTACTCTTAGAGCAATGCTGAGTGTCATTTTTTTGTTCCTGTTCTAGGGAGGAATGAAATTTTGGCGAGCTTGTGTCCTCAAGTTTTTGGATTGTACTTGGTGAAGTTAGCTGTAGCCATGGTGCTTGCTGGTGGTGTACAGAGGACTGATGCTACTGGAACTCGAATAAGAGGTTAGTATTGTTTGTAGTAGTATCACATTCTTTTCTTGTCTAGCTGCTGTTCCCATCCCTGTCTTCACCCCCGCTTGAAAATCAAACAGGTATGGATTCAGAAGCATAATCATCCCATTCTCTTGACTGAGAGCAATTTTTAATCACTGCTGACTATTCTTCCAGAATCTCAGACAAATGCATAAAGTGGATATCTAGACTTCTTCTTTTTATATTAATTTTTCCCCAAATAAAATCCACTGAAAGCATGTTTTCAGGATCCCTTTGTGTTGAGTCTTAAAGGCAGTTGTTTACATAAAACATAGCCTCACTTTTTATTGCATAAGTTACATTTTGAAATGACTTCTAGTAGAATATTCCCAGCAGTGTTTGGCATCGAAGGATGGAAAATTAATGTTTCCTTAATATGGATCACTATAGTACAATGAAGGGAAAATGAAAGGATTCATTTTAATTCCTAGTGCCAGATTTTTCCATCTGTGATTGTCAGCACATCTCACTTAGATCTGTTACTGTAAGTTATCTGCCTGCTGATTCTCCTTCTGTTGTTATTAGATGGCAAATATGCCATGTGCCAGGTGGTACGCAGGTCATAATCTATGTAGGTCATAATAATTCTAAAATAGTATGTGTGTATATACAAATACAAGATTTTCTTAATGCTCCAGCAGCTAAAGAAAGTTAGAGACTTTATATTTAAATTGAAGTTGTATTAATATTTTATGTAAAACAATGAAATAATTTTAGAGCTCTTGAGTGAGTTAGTAGTAGCTAAACTATTTACTTACGTAATTGCATTGTATCTGGAATTACTACATTATGTGACTGTTGGAAATGAAACAGTATAAATAAAGAAAAACAACCTGCTCGTTTATTCCTTTTTGCATTAATGAAAGTAACTGAATAGTGGGATCATAATTAAACCCTGGCAGCCTTTTGTTTCCTGTTCAAGAGTGAATTGAGTCTGTGAGACAAATATTCTAAAATGTAAGAAGTCATATTTTGAGAAGCATATCAAATACTTGCTGACATTTTAAAAAATATTTTATTATAAGTATTTGATGTGGATGCAACAATATGACTGGATCCTTTTATTAAATGATACCTTTATGGCACCCAATAAATAGTACAGTCTTGAACAGATTTGTCATATTGTATATGTAGTGCTAATGTTAGTTAAAAAATGAGAAGTATTGCTTAATTCAAAGTATTTTGTGCATATCTTTCTCTGTGTATGTACAACATACTCCTACGTGAAAATTTTTCCCCAAGGTGAATCACATCTTTTGTTGGTTGGAGACCCGGGTACGGGGAAATCTCAGTTTCTCAAGTATGCAGTAAAGATTACACCACGATCTGTGCTTACCGCAGGAATTGGATCTACAAGTGCAGGTATGTGCTTCTTCAGTTGAGCAGTTTAGTTTTTTCACTAGAGTATGGGGTAATATAAAGGTATTTCATATACATGACCAAGAAGTAGATTTAAGGTTGTATGAACACAGTCTAATGAAAAACTGCCGTGGAGACATATGAGGTTTGGCACTACTGTCTGTAGAAGGCAGTCCTGCACCTTCTTCTGTATCAGTGGAGAGCATGATCAGCTTCTAATAGAGGAGCTTACAAAGCATCATCCAGAGGCACCTCTCGCTGCGTTTCTAGCAGAGGATGATCTGGACCTATATTTTTAGTGTTCTTCCCAGCTATGACAAATCTGACATCTTTCCAGAGCTCACACTGTGTGATGGGGTAGAATTGTTTGGTTTCTCCTGAACAGATATTCTCCTCTCTTCCATGCTTTTGTATGTTCTGGCTAAATGCCAGTTTGATTTTTGCTTACTTTCTGGAAATGCACCCATGTGTTGAGGCATTATCTCTGACTCGAAAAGATGGTTTTGGGGAGCAAAGGTGTTTCGGATAATTTTTTCTTTTTAACGTTAGCTATGTCCCAACTGGGTGAAAATGCCAGGTATTTTTTACAAACTTCTGGGGACAATACACAGGCTTAGAGCACCTCTGTGAATTACTCTACTTGAGCATATGACTGTTACTAGTACATTAAAAGTCTTGAAATAACTAGGGACAAAAAACAATGGTCTCAGCACATCTAACTTGAGTGTTTTTCAGACAGTGCTACTCTTCATTTTATGTGTGGGAATCAGCATTGTTTATACCTGGGAAAGCTAGAGAGTAAATCTTTCCCAGTTCTAGCTATGTGTACATGTGTGTATTAGGTTTTTGTAGCTGTGCAAGTGCAACAACTTATTTCAGTGATGTTGAAATGCGATATCGAACTTATAGTCTTGTGGGCAGGGAATTTGTTATGAAATACAGATGCCTCTGGTTTTCCATTCAAACTATTGACAAATATGTCTGGAGAGAAGCCAGAGAGAATATTTTAGCTCAGGATAACCTTTTTTCTGCCTTTTGTTCTGTATTAAGAACTGAAAACAGGCTAGATAATTTAAATTTTTGCCATGGGACTGGCAGTAACCTGGAGTGAAACTTTGCCATGCATTTCGATGTGACCTTGCCCACTTTTATCAGTAGTTATCCCCCTGCATCAGCTCTCTTGGATGTTGCTGTTGCCCAGTGTTGATGTTGCCTTCTTCATCGTATCTCCCACTCTGCTTTATTTTCCATATGATCTGTTTTCCAGCTCAGCCATGACAGCTAGGTTCAAAGACATTTCCCTGAAACTCAGTATTGTAGGTTACAGGTTTATCATAGTGTGTGTGCCATACAGTCAGCTCTCTTGATTGTAGAGCTGGAGTTTCATCTGTGAAAGGGTCTTCTCGAGTCTTTATATCCACTTAAATAATCTTTATATTTAAAAATATAAAGATTTATATTTTATATATATAAATCTCTCCCCCTCACTCTTAGATCTTACTGCATATGCACCAAATTTCCACCTTGAAATTCTTCAGGACTCTTACCATAAATAAAACTTGGATCCTAGCTGGAAATCTAATTAACCCTACTTTAACTTCAGGGAACCTTTCCATGGTTAGAATTGCTGGACTAAAGCTTTAGTCTCTAGCCCTGGAGTTTGAATGTAGCTTGAATCCTTTTCTTTGCTGCCCCTGTATGAGAAGTGTCCTACGCATCAATATGTTTGTAACTGATTAACACACTGATTTTATGAACTTGCTCTTCATGCAGAAGCTCCAAATGGTGAGTTTAGAGAACTATTAAATCCTTCTGCTTTCATTGTTATAATGGCATACTTTGAATTAACAGTTTCTGCTTTCCTATGAGGGGAAACTTTTAATGGGCATTTTTTCTTCCAGTGTAAAAAGACTAAATCTGTAAATTCCACTTTTGACCAGTTGCTTAAATTATATAAAATGCAGCCTGGAACGCAGTTAAATTACTAGCTCTGGTTAATTCTCTTCAGACTAATATTACTAAGAAAATAAAATGTTCTTTATCATTGCACTGAGAAATTATTATAGAGCATGTTACCCAGTGAGCTTTTGGTTATAAACAGCAGTGCTTTTCAAAGAAGTTACAAGATATTCTGTTTCAAAGCAGAAGTCAAGTCAGACATGCAAGCTAAAAGAGCAAGCCCAGAGGCTCCACAGACTCATTTCACCCTTCCCACTGTTGCTGTCCCCTCCTAATCGCCTGCTCCTCCCAGTCACTCCAGTTGGCCCCAGTGGGAGGATGGGGGCACTTGACCTCTGAGCCAACTGCTAGCCTAACTTAGCTGAATCCCTCCAGCAAAACAAAAGCAGCTTGGACCAACAGCGAACCTCCTAGTCACATAGCCCTTTCCTTGAAGGGAACTTTTGTTTCCTTCTACAACTTCCTACGTCTTTTGGTCAGCGTTCAAGCAGTGACTTTCTTTGTACCTCACTTCAAGTCCTTACACTTGTAAGGCCAGACGCCACTGAATGATGAGTGCATCTCTGCTCTTTGTCCTACTTAAGATGCATCTGTTTGTCCTATAAATTGTTTTCTGAAAGCCTAGCTGTAATAGATCTGATGTTTTAAAGCGTCACAAGTATTTTTACATTCTTCTACCCAATTTACCTTTTCTTTTTGGACTTTTTCTGCAAGTTGGATAATGGGGCAGAATCTTAGAAAATGGAGGAATGAGATCTAAAATAATTTGACAATCCAAGGAGGGTTCTTATTTCTTTTAGGGGGCTGCCAATTGGTAGTTCCTTATCAAATCTTACTTTGGAAATCTCTTGATTCAGTTTTTCTATTGCCCTGTGAGTATGTTAATGTTTTGACCAGGAATCTAGGTCTCACTCTCCTTTTGGAAACCAATTCTAAGTGGCCTGACTAATTATTGCTCTTTAACGCCTCATCTGAGAACAGCAAGGAGTCATTCATATGCCTTTATTCCCTCAAAAATGATACGTAGCTTCCAAGAAGGAAAGATTTACTGGGATTTAACAAAATCTCTTCTTGGTTTCCAACCTTACTACTGAGTTTAAACAACTGTTCTGCAGTCATAGTTATATGCCTGTAGCCATAATGCTGCTTCTGTATCTTGGATGAGATAATCACTAATCAGAAAATATTTCATTTTCCCCTGGAGCTTGGTATCCTCAGCAATCAATTTGAGTGGTGTGTCACAGCCTGTTGGGATTGGAACCAACACATGCTCTGGGCAGGTCTGGAGCTATTGGACGTTCTGGCCGGAGTCATTCTGCCATTTCCTGCTGGATGTTTGGCCATTAAGACCTCTGCAAAGTTTTGTTCAGCGTTGTATCCTTCCGCAGATGGACTGCTTAAAGAATCTTGTGAATTATCTTCAGCAAAGCTTGTCTAAAAATCTAGGAGACTACCAACTGCTTCTCCTGCTTTCCAGTTCTGTACAATACCTCTTCCTGGAGCTGTATAAAATACAGCTTTCTGTCCTCTCTTCTCAGAGCCTCTACAGATCCTTGGGAGTATTGCCTTTTTGATGACATTTTGCAATGTCTGACATTGTCCATATCGATGCCAACAGCACTCTGATACTGTATTTTTAGTTTCCATTAAAGATAACTAACTCAAGTGGAAACAACCGTTTTTCTTTTTTTTAGTAAGCCTCTTCCTGCTGGGCAAGTTTCAGACGGTAAGAGTTCTCTCTTTTTTGAACAGGTACTCAAGACACTAAAAAGCTGGAGAAATTTTTCCGTAAACATAATTGCCTATCTGTAGTGGTCCCTGGTCTGTGCTAATCCCCAAACTACCCCTGGAGATTCCCTAGGAAAGTGCTGGTTGGTACAGGCCAAGGCAGCATACTAACAACTCACCGCTGTGGATGACAGCATCTGGACCATGCTCTGGCCCTGATTTATTGCAGCCTTTGCGATTGCAGAGTTGCAGCCTTTAGGTCACTCTTTCTGGAGCCTTACTTCTACCACAGGGTTCTTCACTGTCTTCATGAATATTCATAATTATAGGTGAATTTGAAGTCATTTTCTATCAGCAAATACCTCAAAAATATTTTCCTGAGAGTATGAGTTCACTGGATTTTCCTTAAACAGTTGGGCCTCAAGTTGAAGAGGCGTTAACTCTCTAGGAAAACTGCTAAACTTCTTTGAGGAATGAATTTTGAAGTTATAATCAAAGCTCTGGGGAAATATGTCACATCTGTAACAATGTCTCATCTTTTGCAGATTCTTAAATTCTCTTAACTTCCCCTCACTAATGCAGTTCTAAGATGATCTTGCCCTGAGACAGAGGTTACCCTGGCTACCTGCATGCAACAGATTATTTAGCCAAGTAGACAGCTGTCTCCAGAGGTTTTGATCTGTTCATACATCTATGCCTAAAGATCTCTAGTTAAGAGAGACAGGAAACATTGCAGGTCCAACATCTTGGTGACGTTGGCTGGAGGAAATGCACTCCTGGTCTTATGCGCTGCTGGTATAATACATTCCGATAGGCCTTCCAGAGACTCTTTCTCCTGCTATTGAAATGGTAGAATGGCATTTCAGTCAGTAGATTTTGAGAGTGACGTTACGGAATCACAGAATCACAGAATCGTTTAGGTTGGAAGGGACCTCTGGAGATCATCTAGTCCAACCTCCCTGCTCAAGCAGGGACCTTTAGAGCATATTGCCCAGGATCACATCCAGACGGGTTTTGAATATCTCCAGGGAAGGAGACTCCACCACCTCTCTGGGCAACCTGTTCCAATGCTCTGTCACCCTCACAGTGAAGAAGTTTTTTCTCAGGGTCAGATGGAACTTCCTGTGTTTCAGTTTGTGCCCGTTGCCTCTTGTCCTGTCGCTGGGCACCACGGAGAAGAGACTGGCCTCATCCTCTCGACATTCCCCCCCTTCAGATACTTGTACACATTTATGAGATCCCCTCTCAGTCTTCTCTTCTCCAGGCTGAACAGGCCCAGCTCTCGCAGCCTTTCTTCAGAGGAGAGATGCTCCACT